TTTTCCATTTTGTTCATTTTTTTGTAATTATGAGAGGTTGATCGATCATTTTTATTGTGGAGGGTGTTAATCATAGATATTATCATCTTCATAATTTTAATTTTAGAGAAATACATGAAACAGTTTCATTAATGTTAGAGAAATACATGAAACAGTTTCATTAATGTTAGAGAAATACATGAAACAGTTTCATTAAGTATTATATGAAATAATTTCACAACCATATATGAAACAACTTAATCAAAAAAAGTATTATATGAAACAATTTCACAAGATTAAACAATTTCATGAAAAAATTTCATAAGATTAAACAATGAAATCGACGGATGAAGGTGGTTTGCACGGTTTACACAAATGAGGGCGGTTTTTATTTAATCACTCATCTCTCTCTCTCTCTCTCTCTCTCTATATATATATATATATATACATTTCATTCCTTCTACTTTTTTTTTTCCGTCAATATGAATAAGCAAATTTAACCACATTTCAAGATTTAATGAATACTCAAATCTCATAGTGTCATGTCATTCTAGTTGGTTTCTCCTTAAATATATATATATATAGAGAGAGAGAGAGAGAGATTACATAAAATTTGGAAGTAGAAAAACTTGGGCAAAGGAGGAAAGGATGGTCAATTGATAGAGGGAGAAAGAAAAGAAGGGGCAGAAATGTAAAAAGTTGAGCTCAGAAGGGCCAGTTTTGTCAATCTTGAAAGTCAAGCTGAATTGATGGACCCAACCATCAGGTAGGCATGTCATCATGGCTCAAGTGGGTTGCACCAGCCGGGAATCGAACCCGGGTCTGTACCGTGGCAGGGTACTATTCTACCACTAGACCACTGGTGCTTTTTGTTATGTTGGTCTAATCTATGAAATAAAAGGAAATCATTTCATTGCTTTGCCTCACAAGACAGAAACCATATGGGTTGTGAAACGGTGTTTAAAGCTCAGAGGATGTAGTGGAAAATCTCAACTTCCTCGAGTTCGAATCCAGATGTTGTCAAAACTCTTATGGCCATGGAGGTTCACCTGTAATGACTCCAGGCAATTCGTGGTCGCTTGGACGTTTAGTCGGTGTACGTAAACTAATGCGGATACCCACAGTTACAAAAAAATACCACAAGACTCGTGTTCTTAAAGTTTCTGACTTATCGGGATTTGGGATCGAGGACTGAAGAGGGTACAAACCTCTCTTTCTTTTTGCCATATTTATTTGGAGATGTAAAGTTACGTTGTGTAGGAATACGGTCTCTAACCGCAACGTGCATTATTGGTTGTACTCTATGCAATGTACGTTGTAGGGTTCGGTGTCGTAGCTTACCATGGTGTATGTAGACCATGCATTATTGGTTGTACCCTATGCACTGTAACTTTTTTTTTTGAAGTATATAATATTTATATATGGCAAATACAACAAATAAACTCACACAACCTTCTCATCTATGGTGAGGTTTGAACCCCTGACCTCCTAGGAGGAGGCCAAGGGCTACGATACCGCTAGACCAACTGGAACTTGTATATCTATAGTGACATGGCTGATTTTAAAGAAGAAAGTACATCGTTTTCCTTTTTTAACTGTTTTCTAGCCCAAAATGTGTAATTGATTAGGACCAGTTATAAACTTACTCGGTTCACTTTACGGTGTGTTTATGTTTTTTAAATTTAGTATTATTGACCAATGAGGGAGTGTCACGTCGTTAAATGATCCAACATACTCATTTTTTCCTGTAATTGTTATTTATACAACTAATAAACGTATCGTATTGAGTGACAAAGAATATGAATTAACAACTGTTTGATCCTATGATTTTTGAACCGATCAACGGGTTCTTTAATGTAATTGTAGTTTTGTTGTTAACCATCGTTTTGGTCTTGTTGAAAAGAGAGGGAAAAGCACTAAACCGTACTCGTACTTTTGTTGTAATAACATTTGAATGATGAAAAGGGGGATGGAATAAAATTGATCCACAAAAATAAAGACCGGGGGTAAAATGGTCATTTTTAACATTCAGACTGCTTATTCAGTACAATAACCGAATAACAACTTATCTGTTAATATACAGACAACTAAATCCATACAGGTATTAACAGAAAACGAACCGAACAGCCCCTAAGAACATCTCTATCAGTTGAGCTCTTTGTTCCCTATTTTCTTCAAAGAGACTCTCTATATTGTTTTTTAAAATAAAGAAAACAGAGAAAGTTCCAAGTTTAAAAAAAAAGTTTAAAAAAACCTAATAGATTTTTTCATTTTGAATGGGTTAGTGCTTAAACTGTTTTTTTTTTGAATGAAAACTCATTAAACTTTCACATTTTGAATGACAAAGTCCCTAAACTATTTTTTCTGAATGAAAAAACATCATTAAACTTTCGCATTTTGAATGATCAAGACCCTGAATTTTTATTAAAAAATAAATAAATCATCAAATTTTTACTAGTCAATTAATATAACTTTTTTGGGTTAAAAATGATGTAAGTAACCAATTTTTAAGGGAACTTAGGGGCCGTTTACTAAACGCTTGCTTGGTAAGTGTTTACCGGATAAATTTTCTCATCGGATGAACATGACAAGGGCCAAGAATCTTACCGGGTAAGAGCGATGAGAAAGATGTAGAGTTTTATCCGGTAAGTGAAGATGACAACTCTTACCCAGGTAAATGCTTACCCAGTAAATTGTTGCATTCGATACGTTTTGATGTACTAAAATCTTACGCATCAAGATAAATTATAATGTTGATTCTTATAGGTAAGCACTTATCGGGTAAGCATTTGGGTAAACAGCCCCTTAATCAATGAAAATAAAAAAGTTTAGCGGTTTTTCATTCAAGAAGAAAAAGTTTAATGATTGTTTCATACAAAAAAAAAATAGTTCAAAAACTTGATCAATCAGAATGAGAGTTTAATGGGTTTTTTTTTTTAATTAACCTGGATATCCAACCCGCTATGCGAGCCGGCTAATCTCAGAGTGACCACCTGCTTTGCAGATAGTCCGGAGTCACCGCATTTGAACCTCCGTGACCACAAAAAGGATTTTTATCCCTCATTGGATTTGAATGGTTTTTTTTTTTCATTCAAAAACATAGCTTTGGGACTAAACCATTCAAAATGGAAATTTTTGTTAGATTTTTTTGAACTTTTCCCTTTAAAAAATTATCTACAACTTGATGTATGAAGAGATAAATTAATTTTTTATTCATTTAAACCTTTTAGATTGAATTATTATTAAATTTTTTTAATTGTTTTAAAAGTGTATTAAGATGATAAAATTACAGAATACTTTAATAATATAACCAACGTTGGAATTCTAAAATAAAAAAAATTGGTTAGAGTTAGTTCCCATGTTACAGAACTGTACATAAGATTTTCATCTCGTACGCGCTCCTCAAAGGTCACAAATAAATCTGAGGACCCGTCCATTATTATTTTTATTGATATGTTTGTAGGATAGATAGAGATAAAACGAAATCCATTCTAAGGAACCTATTAGATAGTGGCGGATCCAAGAAGTTAATGGGGTGAGACATGTTAGATGGGACTTGGGGAGGAAAGCATATGGTCATATGGGACTGGGGGAAATCATGTAAAATAAAGGTGAAAATATAAAATTTAAGCCGGTCCATCAAAGGTTTTTGGTTTTTGACTGGAGCCTTTTCCCCCAACGGTTAGCGGCTGGATCCGCCCCTGCTATTAGACACTGGAATTTTGTCTGTCATATTTATAGAAAAGTGCTTCTAAATTAATCTTATACCGTAATAAATTTTTTTTTTTTTTTTGAGATTTTGGTTCTTTATTTTAGAAAAAGTATAGAAATTTGTAAGTAGAAAAACATGGGCAAAATTGGGAAAAAGGAGGAAAAGAATGGGGTCAATTGAAAGAGAAAGAAAGAAAAAACCAAAGGGGCAGAAATGTAAAAAAGTGAGCTCAGAAGGGCCTGTGTTGTCAATCTTGAAAGTCAAGCTGATCTGATGGACCCAACCATCAAGTAGGCGTGTCATCATGGCTCAAGTGGGTTGCACCAGCCGGGAATCGAACCCGGGTCTGTACCGTGGCAGGGTACTATTCTACCACTAGACCACTGGTGCTTTTTATTTAATGCTTTCACTAAATTTTATATGTAGATACGTAACATTTATATCTATACATCAAAATATTATATTTGGGCAAACGTTGATTAACCGGCAATCTCAACTGGTTTCAAGCGGAACCCGTATTTAACGACACCAATGTGAAAGGACATTTGTGGCTTACTCAACGGTTGAAGCTAGCTGGGGGGAGGGGGGCTAGGATCGAACCCATGAGCTGTCTTATATTTGGGCAAAGTCATCCAACCCTTTTATCAACTGAGCTATATGTCAGATGCATCAAAATATCACATATATATATATATTAGATAATTCATTGATGACAAATGGAAGATAGTTGGATTATTAGTTTTGGTTTTTATTTAATTTTTATATTGTTATTGGCAAATGGCTGATATAATTTGAAAGTTCAAATCTTGGATCTAATTTACTACTAAGTTTTTTTTTCTTCAATACCGTGTACCAACCAATTATAATTGGTACGCAAAATCTTATATTATGTACCAACCAACTGTATTTGGTGCCAACTTTTTTCGATTGATATTGATTTTGCGTCAACTTCAAGTTACATATATACAAATTTGTTATTTTATTCAAATTTTGAGTGATATTGAGTTTCCATTTATATGAGTCAAGTCTTAACCGATTAGTGGTCGGGTCCCATTCCGATTATTCGTGACCATTATATGGGCCCGGTTAAGAATGCATAAGGGTATAAACGAGTTGATTTTTTAACGAGCTATTCAAACTTGAGCTTAATAATTCTCGAGTTCGAGCCGATATCGGACCCAAAATAAAGCTCAGTTGACTTGATGAGTCGAGCTCTATAATACCAGTGTTCAACTCGACTCGTTCGAAAAGCTCGAGCAAACTTTACAAGCAGCTTTCGAATAACTTGATACTCGACTCGAATCGTTTACACCGTTATATCTCTAGATATTATTGATGAATCATGAGAGTTAATACAAGATATTATCAAATAAAAACTGTTGCAATTTTCATTAGAATTACAGTTGCTTCCCACCCTTTCCATATATAATGTCTACTTGAAATGCAGTACAAGCAAAATTACATTTTAGACCTCAAATAATAACTGAAAACCGAAAGAAGGGTAACGATCTCTATGCAAATACGAAACAAAAAGATTGCATACAACGGCTTTTCATCCCGGACCTTACAGAATCGAAGAATTAGTGCACCGGGGTCGGGCTTTTTTCCGAGAAACTGACAGAAAGATGGGTCGGGTACCTCAAGCTTGCTTGTTCAGAAATAGAGTAGTACACTGGTCCATAGTATCGTCGGGGCTCGTAACTGAGATGCACAGAATAATTAGTTGACAACTTCCAGAAGTACTCCTGCTAAAAATAGGAGCGTACATAAAATCTTGCCATGAAAATTGGAATATTTCGTCGAGCAAAACGCTTTAAGGAAAATGTTTCACCATTAAAATTTTCTTAATATATTTCGATAATGACAAAAACCTTGAGGGCCAGCTCAACTAGCAAATAAAGGGTAGGCCTTGGGACGACACCTCATAGGCCGCTAGTACGAGTCTACCTTGGACACTGGGATTTTCGTGGTTGTTATCTTCAAGACCCTGGATTAGTCGAGGTGCACTCAACCAGGCCCACAGACACCCACCGTAAAAGAAACACTGAGAAACAAGAGATTTTTGCCTGAGGGTGCACCTTAAAGGTGGATCAAAAGCCCGCAAAGTTGGCTATGTGTTTTTAGCCGAATTCCATATTTCGATGGATTTTTAAAGTTTTTTGGTTGATTTCGAGGGATCTTGTTTGGTTTTTCTTGTTGATGTTCCTTGTATTTTCTAATAGCTCGGAGCACCTGTCAAAGTTTAGCAAGTGCACCTGTCGCACCCCAAAAAAAATTCTACTTGCGAAAATAGGTTGAGCGGATGCATGGGACCCCGCTCGGGGTTTAAAGGTCCGTCCCGGAAGAAAATATAAAAAAGATGAAGGGTGTAAAGCACTCTCCTAAATTGAAGGATGATTCAAATATTTATCGTTGGATATAAATTGATGGTATCGGTTTGTATCCTCAAGAATCCTTCGTCTTGTAAATGAAGGGTGTTAAAGATATTTTACAAGTGAACTCTTTCTTTAAACTACATGCCAACTCAAACAAGGCAATTTTCATGGGATGGAGAAAGTATTTACAAAACCAAACGAGCCCAATATATCCCACTGGGAGGTGGGGCCTAAGAGGTAGGATGTAAGTAGATCTGACCTCTATCCCAAAAGTAGAGCAGTTATGTCCAAGAGAGTATATACCAAATCAAACTAACAAAACAAACCCAGTATATCCCACCCCGAAGGTGGGGCCTAAGAGGTAGGAAGTACACAGACCTGACCTCTATCCCAAAAGAGTAGAGCAGTTATTTCCGAGAGAGTATATACTAGACCAAAAGAAACCTAGTATATTCCACCCGAAGGTGGGGCCTACAGGGTGTAATGTTCGCAGAACTGACCTCTATTCAAAGAGTAAAGCAATTGTTTCTGAGAGAGTATATAATTTTGATTATGATTAATCGAGCTAACCTGTGTGACCAACGGTTCGTGCAGATTCATAAATCTCATGATCATTTCCCCCCTAGTAAAAAAAAAAAAGTTAACGAAGATTATACTAAAGTTTCAGGCAACACAAATATCATGTCATCTATCAAGAAACAACTAAAAGTGAACACAAAAAATGTAGTTGATACCTTGTAAGTCTTGTCTCCAAAGAAGTGAATTTCTTCAAATTCATCCAAGTATTTCAAGCAATAAGTTTTGTCCCAACCTTGTGGGAAGGCCTATTAAGAGCATTTTCCGAAAGAAATTGAGTGAAATTAGCAAATAACGAGTGTTCATCATCTCGTGTTTTCATGGGTAAGAAGTTATACTTACGTCGAAGCTAATTTGGCCACCAATGGAAAACGTAAGATTAAGATGAGCAAACTTTTCTCGAAGAACTTCCACCATTTTTGCACGTATGTTATGAACCTGAATTGCAATTTGTTATCAAAAGCATATATAGAGTCCTAATCATTTGCAAACCTCTTAATTTATACAAGGCAATCTCAACTATCCATCTACTCTAATGAATATCTGGTTCCATCAATATTTCGATTGTTTCCTAATTTAAAGCATTGATCAAAATGAATGAACTTTGATCATCTTCCATAAATTTCCAGATCATAATAAATGAACCCTCATTATTTCCATAAACATCTCAATTGATTGGTTTGTATGAATTTTTGTTGATATAGGGCCATTTTGTTTGCATCTTAATGAGCTTTAATGAGACTCACAACTTATCCCCGGTGAGCTATACATGATTCTTTGATAGTGGCATAATGATATAAAAAGTAACTTATTTAGTAAGCTTCTAGGAGGGATTTTTATGCAGAAAGCTAGGTTTTTTTTTCCAAACCCACCCCTCCGAAGTAAAAAACATGTTCCTTCCATATATGAAAAAACCCTCCCAAACAAAAACCTTCTCGATCTCTACAGACTGATTAATCCACACGTACAACCTTATCCATACAGAAATATGGAAAACCAACCAAACAAGCCCATAGTCTTACGTTCGGAAGGAATAAAGTTTTGTACCTTATCATACTTCTCAAACTCGTCTCTTTCTTCTTGACTACAGTTTCGCCCAATTGGTGACACATTGATCATCCCACTTCGAAACTCAATGAAAGTTCCCCTGTAGTTAAAAGGGTTCATTTAGATGCTAAAAAGATGATCAATAGTTGCAAGATTTTAGGTTTTTCGCTCACCTTTTTATTGGGATATCTATGTCCGCAAGATAATGAAGGGTAAAATTGATGAAGTCCTGCATCATGCCATGTATGCTTACTTGTTACAAGTTAAAAACCTTATATGATGTATGAAAACATGTTATTATATAAACCAGAGGGCCAGTTCAACTGATAAATAAAGGCTAGGCGTTTGGGCTCCGGTCGCCGGTTTGAGTCTCCTCATGGCCAGTGGGGATTTTCTTGGCTTCAACAATGGCAGATCCAAAAACTTTGATGATGAGAGGCAGAATTTACTTGACATAATATAAAATATAGTAGAAGTTAAACAAAGAGTAAAAAAGAAAAGGAAAACAAAGCATATATATATTAAAAATAAGTCATATATCTATAAATAGTAAAATTTATAATGTATAATGTAATATATATATATATATGTGTGTGTGTGTGTGTGTGTCTTTGTGTAATCTATGGGGTCAAAACAAAATATTTTATATAAAAAAATAAAATTTATAATTTAAAAAAGGTATTTTATTGAAAATCTAATCAATTGCATGTAGGTCCGCCAATGATCTTCAAGGCCCCATGGGATTAGTGGAGGTGCGCGCAAGCTCACCCGGACACCCACATTTACCAAAAGTACATGTTACTCCCTCCGTCCCAAAATAAATGTCCACCATAAAAAAGGCATGTAGTTTTAGCAATGTGTAATTATTACACTTTTTTATTAACTAAAGGACAATTCTACCTTTAAGCATAGAGAGAGATTTTCTCCATATCATAATTAAGGGTAGAATGGGAAAGTAGACATTTGTTTTTGAAAGTAGACACTTACTTTTGAAAGAAGACACTTATTTTGGGACGGGGGAATATATTGTAGGCACATCAAGTAACCTATGTCAATGTTTCTTGTTTAAGGGTTAAGGATTCATCTTGGTTTCACATAAACCCAGGGATCCATGTTCCAATCACTTTCCATGACCCCTTGGGACCAACTAAACACTAATTTGCTAAGAACCCTTCGTGGGATCCGTAAAAACATAAAAAAGAAAACTCTTTTACCCTGATGTTTTCATCCCCGAGATGTGTCTTCAAACTCTGCACAAAGAAACCCATCAAGAAAAACTTAATCACACAAAATACTGAAGAAAAGGGTGCATAATGGCAACCTCAGTGCACTAAGACAAGACTCCTCAATGTGTGAAATTTCTAATGAAATTGTGAAGCTTTCGGAAGGAATGATTTTGGCGCCGCCTTTTTGAGTTTTAGAAGTGAAACATACCAATGCCCAAAGCAACAAGCGGGGACAATAACTTCAAATCCAACTTAAAAATCATGGTAGAAGTTATTGGTAGCCCATAACTTGAGGCTTATAAGTTGCTCACAGTTCTCATTTTCTATCCATGTGGGACGAGTTGTTACAAGAAGGTACCTGTGTTCCAACTAGCTTTCCATCCTTATAGGCCACAAGGCCGTTCTCAGCAAACACGTAATCATAGTCATTTATAACTGCACAGAGACATTGAAGCTCCATTGTTAGATTAAATAGTGTATATTTTAAAAGGTGTTCTAAAAGTGGTCATCAAAGAAGGAAGAAACTTTTGCAAAATAATAAAGAAAAGGGGGAATAAATGAAGAATCATTATAAAGGTTGGCTTCAAGAACTTGAATCAAAAGCAATGATAAAGAGTGTAAAAGGCGGAAGATATACATAAAAAATTTCATATGATAATATTTCCCTAAAGTTCAACATTAATTTTAGCATACTTGTATTTCTCTTTAGCACACTTCTCACTAGCCGACTTTGCTCTTTAGGTTAGGGGCCAGATCTACGTAATCTCCACCCTCGGGGCAAGAGCCCACCTTTGGTTGGGATATACTGGGCTCGTTTCGTTTGATATAAATTGAAAGAGAGAGAGAGAGAGAGAGAGAGAGAGAGAGAGCACATAGTTGTAGAAAATGCTAGAAATTTTTATTGAAAAACCAACTTTGCCGGCAATTTGTAGAATACACGAACTTTCATATGCACAAATCATTCTAATGACATTGTGCTTCATTTCATTGTATTGAACAAGATATATATAAATGTGTGTGTGTATGTATATATACACTCATATATATATATATATATATATATATATAGGGTCAAGTTCAGGGGAAAACCGCAAAAAAAATGAAAAGCTGAGATATTCAAAAACTTTGTTGAAAAACAAAGTGGATATCACATTAAAACTCTTAGATCTGATGGGGGTGGGGAATACAATTCCATATATTTCCTTGATTACTTGAGGGAACATGGTATTCACCACCAAGTCACAACAAGATACACCCCTCAGCAAAATGGAGTTGCTGAGAGAATCAACAGAACCATATTAGAAAAGGCCAGAAGTATGCTAAAAGCAAAAGGTCTAGACAACTCATTTTGGGCTGAGGCAGTGTCTTGTGCATGCTATTTGACAAATAGAACCTCCGCAAAAGGTCTTACTGACAAGACACCTCAGGAAGCCTGGACAGGATACAAACCCACTGTAGGCCACTTAAGAGTTTTTGGTTGTTTGGCCTATGCTCACATACCTGAACAAAAGAGGGGCAAATTAGACGAGAAATCAGAAAAAACCATTTTTATAGGTTATAGTGATAGATCAAAAGCCTATAAACTATATAATCCCATCTCTGGAAAAACTATTGTCAGTAGAGATATAGTCTTTGAAGAGGGAAAGTCATGGAATGACAAAACTGAAGGGACTACAAAGATGTTAGAAGATGATCAAAGTCAGAGAGATAATTCAAAGTGAAGAGAAACACAGTCATCAGGAAGATCAGGACCCACAATCTCCAAATTCTTTCACCACTCCTAGTACATCTCAACCCACGGAATCTCCAAATACACAAGATTCTACCGAAAGTCCACCCAAAAGAGGATATAGAACCTTAAGTGATATCTATAATGACCCAAGAAGCTTAGAATTTAATGACACTGCAGACTTTATACTTTTCTGTGATGCTGACCCTTTAACTTTTGAGGAAGCTTATAAAGAAAAGAAGTGGAGAGAAGCCATGGATAAAGAAATAGAAGCAATAGTAAGAAATGATACATGGAATCTTGTGAATTTACCAAGTGGTCACAAGTCCATAGGTGTTRAATGRATTTATAAAACCAAACTGAATGAGAAGGGGGAGGTRGATARATACAAAGCAAGGTTGGTCGTGAAAGGGTATAAACAAAAACATGGGATTGATTATCAAGAAGTCTTTGCACCTGTGATAAGACTTGAAACTATAAGGATTGTATTRGCATTGGCTGCACAACACCACTGGCAAGTTCATCAAATGGATGTTAAATCAGCTTTYTTGAATGGAAGATTAGAAGAGAATGTTTATATTGATCAGCCTGAAGGTTACATCAAGAGAGGAGAAGAACACAAGGTATATCAATTGAAAAGAGCACTCTATGGGTTGAAACAAGCACCACGTGCTTGGTATAGTAGRATTGAAAGCTATTTCATTACAAWTGGCTTCAGAAAATGTCCTCAAGAGCATACTTTATTCACCTTTAAATCTGRAGGCATGATGTTGATTGTTYGCATCTATGTAGATGATTTAGTTTTTACAGAAAATTCTCAAAAATTAATAGAGGATTTCAAGAATAGCATGAAGAAAGAGTTTGATATGACAGATCTGGGATTACTTCATTTCTTCCTGGGAATTGAAGTCAAGCAGAATGAAGAAGGCATAAGGATTTCTCAACAAAGGTATGCTCAAAATCTCCTTGATAGATTCAATATGAAACAGTCTAATTCTGCTATCACTCCCATGGAATTTGGCTTAAAGCTTTCTAAGAATTGTAATGAAGATTTAGTTGATGGGAGTCTYTATAGAAGTTTAGTAGGCAGCCTTATGTATTTGACTGCCACTAGACCAGATCTGGTATTTGCTGTTAGTATTATAAGCAGATTTATGGAAGCTCCTACGATTAGTCACTGGGAGGCTGGTAAGAGGATTTTGAAGTACGTTAAAGGCACCATCGATCATGGCATTGTGTATTCAAAAACATAAAATTTTAGACTTATAGGATACAGTGACAGTGACTTTGGTGGAAACATGGATGATGAAAAAAGCACATCTGGGTATGTGTTCAATCTGGGATCTGGGGCAGTATCGTGGCAGTCGAAAAAACAAAGTGTGGTTGCTCTATCTTCTGCTGAAGCAGAATATATCTCGCTGTCTATCGCAGGCTGTCAAACTTTGTGGTTAAGGGCTATACTAGAAGAATTAGAACACAGACAGGAAGGGGCCACTACTGTTTCTGTGACAATAGTTCAGCTATTGCACTCTCTAAGAATCCAGTCTTCCATGGTAAAAGCAAGCATATCAGACTCAAATTTCATTTCATCCGAGAGTTGGTCTCAAACAACGAAGTTCAAGTAAAGTTCTGCTGTTCAAAGGAACAACTTGCTGACTGTTTTACAAAGGCTCTACAATTTCGAAGCTATGAAGAACAAGTTAAAGGTGCAACCATTACTAGCTTAAGGGGGTGTGTTGAAATTAAGCGTCGCATGGTTGCTGTTTCTGCTGTTTCTTCCTAACGGTCACTTCCTGTTAAGTGGCAGTTAAGTTAGTTAATTACCGTTAGTCTCCGTTAACAGTTGACAGTTAAGAATAACTGTAAATGTGTCCTGTCCGAAAGGTTGTGTCCTTTAGTTGGTGTCTGTTAATTCTGTATATATATTTCTGTGTCTGTACTTTGTAAGGTTTTATTGGTTGATTCAATAAAAAGTATTTGGTATATTGTCGTACCCAACACAAATCACCCATATTTGTACAAACCGTGCAAACCACCCTCATCCGTCAATTTCATCATTTAAATTAATGAAATTGTTTCATAAAACTGTTTAATCTTATGAAATTGTTTCATATAATACTTTTCTTGATGATATGGTTGTTTCTATGTTTTAATGAAATTGTTTCATGTATTTTTCTAAAATTAATATAATGAAGATTAATATCCATCATTAACACCCTCGACAATAAAAATGACAGATCAACCTCTCATAATTACAAAAATATGAAAAATTATGATTGGTTGAATGAGGTTTGCACGGTTTGTACAAATAACGTAATTTGCAAAGTAAACCTCCCCTATATATATGTGTGTGTGTGCGTGTGTGTGTGTCTATGTATATATAATATGTAAAAATAAGATAACTGTAAAGGACCTGTTGACCCTAGCTGTTCGGATATCTTAACAAGGTCAGATCCTCCAACAATGCCAACATTAACAACCTGCAAGAAAGAAAAAAAACTCAAAACACTGAAATAATGTAAAAGAACAAGAAAATCGAATACATAACTGCCAAGATGCTCAAGAGTGCAGAATGCATAAATCATGTACCTTCCGTAAATCTTGCATGAATTTCAACATTTTTGGAGTAACCCCCTGCAATTTTGAAGTGAAAGATGTAAATATAGGATTAGGTTAAGGGGAAAAGCACAAGAAATGAAAAACTGAGGAACACTTTAGTAACCATTCATTTATACTTTATGCACATGTGCATACAATTAATATGTAAGTAATTTGTACAGTACGCACATGTGCATACAAGAAATATGTAAGTAATTTGTCAGGTATGTACATGTGCATAACATGGACGCATGCATAGAGTCCAAGAAACAACTTCAATTACTTGTATGCACATGTGCATACCGTAGATGAATGGTTACAAAGGTGTTCCTCAGTTTTTCAGTTTTTTTTGGGGTTTTCCCTTGAACCTCCCTCTCTCTCTCTATATATATACACACACACACACACTAGATATTGTTCACATAAGACTTGTTCGAGTATCTTCACATCACAACAACACAAATAACAAGAAAACTCCTTGTACGGTAGTAGATGCATGCCATTTGCTCAATTTCCGATCTTGATGTATTTATCTCATTTATTCAGATGTGCAAACAGAAATATATAAAAACAACATATGTTTGTATCCCAGGTATATGTCATAGCAAGCAAACATAAGTACTTGCTTAACAGGTAGAGATGAAAAAAGACCAGACCACACCGGTCCGGACCAAACTAGACCGCAGGTCCTTAATCGGTCCAAAGTTTTTTGAGTTGTACCGAGCTTTTTCGTTTTGACCAGACCAGATTTTTAGGACCAGTTCTTGCCCATCTCTATTGGTATGATCCAAATGTAAGTTGAATTTAGTGTAAATCAACTGCCCTCAAGAGGGTGGTGTCTACCCAGTAATAGCAGATAAAGTCAAAAGTAGTCTATTATCTAAACTCGATTCAAGAAATTGGCTCTATTATCTAAACTCGATTCAAGAAATTGACATTCTTCATAACATACTACCATACCTCCAAAAAAATCATTTTTGAAGGAAGCTCATTAGCCTCTTTAAATGCACTTAATATATTGAGACCTATAAGCCAGAGGTCTTCACGGAAACAACCACTCTACCCTCTAGGGGTAGAGGTCAGGTCTACGTACATCTCATTCTCACCCGTCCTAGACCCTGCTTTCAAGCGGGATATAATATATTGGACTTGTTTGGTTTGATACACAGTGAAAAATATAAAGGTGTACCTTCCTTGGAGCAGTAAGAGTGCCATCCACATCAAACAAAGCAATTAAACCCGGTCTTCTCACCGCCATCCTCTATCTAAGTCTTACTGCCACCAAACATCAGAAAAATCAATAATTGAATGAATAACCATAAGGTAAGCACATTATAAAGATTTGTTAATTCAATAAAATCAAAGAACATGCAACGATCATGAATTGTTTAATAAACTCTAAGATCCCAGGCTAACCGTACCAGATATTGTCCGCTTTGTCCAGACATGGACTCACGGTTTTAAAAAGCATATGATAGAGGAGGTATCCAGTCCCTTAATAAAGCAACCTTAGTTCCACTCCCTAACCGATGTGGGATCTTACATAAACCAACCAAGTTTTTTGTTTGTGTGTTACGCTCATCAGTTGTTTAGATCCACAAAATCATTCAATTCAATGGATATAAGCACAACTAACAAAAGACGACACCTATGAGTTGAATCCAAAACCACCGCAAGCCATCCGTCAGCATTTATGCTTTTAACACCGGCATTATCTAAAAAAAGAAGGAAACTTATCTAGATCTTTTAAGTTTGTTGTTGGATCAGATAATCAGTCAAGTTTCCTGATAGAGTATGGGATTTTCATTCATGAGTCCATAAGACCACAACCCATCATTTGTAATAACCTATCTATATCTGTAATTCTACATGGAAATCAAAAGGATCCAAAAGATTAACAAAATCCCTACAAACGAATGTAATTGGACTTCTAAGGGGCTGTTTGGTTGGTTTTCCATTAAGTCTTGTTCGGATAACGTTGTATTTGTGGATTAATCTTTTTGTATAGATTGAGAAGGTTTTTATTTGGGAGAGTTTTTTCATAGGTGCAAGGAGCGTGTTTTAATTTGGTAGGTGTAGGTTTGGAAAAAAAAACTTGGCTTTTTATATAAAGCTCCCCCCATAGAAGCTTAATGAATAAGCCACTTTCTATAAAGTTTAGCCACTACCAAATAGTCCTAAATAGCTGACCGAATAAAATGTAAGTCCTATTAAGCTCATAAAGCTGCTAATAAACATGAATGCTAGAAAGTGAATTCAAACTCCATTCCTAATGTTAAAAATCTCCCCCATTTCTTTTACTTATCTTTGGATCAACCAAGTAAACATATGACGTGATTCAAATTGGGACCTCACATTACAATTCATTTCCCCCAATGACCATTAGGTATCTTGTATAGATCTAAATCACAATCAAATTGTTCACAAACACGAACAAGCACCCAATTCAAAACTTTACTCGAACTTCAATTGATCTATTCACTTTCCACACACATTAGTGTATACATTCATACAACTCACTACAATCAGACTAATTGTAAAACCCTAATACCAAAAAAAATACCAGCTCAATGCTAGTAAAGAGATCAAAAAACCGTAAATCTTACCAAATATCACAGATCAATGCTAGAAAAGAGATGAAAACGAATCTCACCGGAAGAATTGAAGATCAAAATGTATCCAATTGCGTGCTTCAACTCTCGGAATCCAAAGATCTTAAGATGTGTGTGAGGGCGATTTGAAGACGGAAGAAATGGAGAAGTTAGCTGCAACGGCACTCAAAGGTGTAGAGAGATTCAACATTGAAATCAACATATAAATCTTGGAAGAAATTATGGGGACCCACGCTCCTACTTGGCTTACCTGTTCACACACCAAATTCTTTTTATATATTTTTTATTATTTATAATTTAATAAATATTTACCAAAAACAATGAAATAAAAACATATTTAGTAATTTAATAATTTCAACATTCGAATATCAAATATATTTAATATAGAAAAATTAATTAAAATAGTCATTTTCATATTTTGAATTATTTCTTAGGGATTGTTTGATAATTGTTGAATGATTTACTGTAGAATTATTAAGTGGTCAGAATGATTAAGAGACTCTCATGATATAGTGTAAAATGAAATGTAATTGTTTGGTAATTGTTCAGAATAAAATTTGAACGTTGAATGGTTAAAGGAGACAAATGATACAAAATCATTTAGAGTATTTTGAAACCATTAAGAGACGGTTCTTTTTTTTGGTCAAACAAGATTCATCCTCTTAACGATAATAATTAAACATTATGTTAGTTATCAACAATTATCTTATATATTTTAGGTTTTCTATATTTAAAATGGATATTTATCCTGTATTTGATTATGTTTATCTGTAATTAGTTACATTAATTTAAAAATGAAGCTTTATTAAGTTGTACATATGCAAAATTACTTGTAATCTTGAATTTTAAGTATTATACATTAATAAGCGGTGCTTCATGCATAAAAAATGATTTTTAATAGTTTTTGTCAAATGCTTTATGATATAGTATAGATTTACTCGTCAAAGATTTATCAGATCAATTACCTTACTGGATGAACATGACAAGACACAAAAATCATACCCGGTGAGAGAGTTGATAAGGAAGAAAAGTCTTACATTATGGGAGCATCTCCAAGAATCTCAAAAAAAGTTTAAGCCCATCTCCAATATTCTCCGTTTTGAAGATTACAATATAATTATATTATTAAATATTTAATTTAATTTATAAAATATCATTTATTTCTCCTAAAATTTAATTTGTAGGATTCTTTTTTGTTTAAGCATATAATATATTTTATATATGACAAATGAAACAAATAAACTCACACATTCATCATCATTGGTGATGTTTGAATCTCTGACCTCCTAGAAAGCAAAAGACTCAGATACCGCTAGGCCAAATACCCTTTAGTAATTTGTAGGATTCTTATTGGTAGAAAGATTGAAAAAAGATAATTAAACAAATACTGTTTTGATAGACTATAGTCTTACTTGATAATACGTAAAGATAGTTAAAGTGTTGACTCTTACTGATAAGCGTTTACCTAGTAAATTTATTACAATTAAACAGACTGATTTTTCAAGATAATCCCAGTTACAACCGTATTCTCCAAATAATTAATTTGTCTTTCTACGCTCTATAACAAAAGAATAAGAAATAAATAAATCCAGTAGTTAACACGCATTTGATTTTGGCGGTTCGAAATCATAATTTTGGGTCTCGTTTTATAGGCGTGAAGCTTAATCCACTTTTATATTGACGTGTTTTCAACTAAAAATTCTCAACAAATCGTAAAATCCATAGTTTCTCTTTGTATTTTAGAGCATCTTCAACAGATTTTTTTATAATTTCTCTAAAATAAAAAGTTAAAACTTATGACTTAATGAGCTTAATGGGTTAACGGGCTTATTCCCTTAGCCAAAATGTGGTGTTTGCTTAGGGCTTATTCACACAGATGGGAAATGGCTCTTGTCCAGGTTTAGCCAAAATACCCCTTCACGTCTCATTCATTGTGTACGCCTCCTTCTAGATCCTATCTCAAATGTGACACCCCAAAATGAGGTAAATAAATAAATTAGAAAGCAAAAAGAATAAGGAAAATAAAATAAAATAAGTTTTATTTTATTGGAAAAAAAATATATAATAAAATATAAACATATTTGAAAATCAGATTAAAAATGAAGGAAAATGTCATATTAGGGGTGAAATGTGTAAAGATGTCAAAAGTAATAGAGCCAGGGGGCCGAATGCATTTTTATGAAAGTTAAGGGGTTGGTCAGATGTTAACAGGTCCAAACCAGAAGGACCTGTTTTGTAAATATACATCAGATCTGCAAATTTAGAAATGCGAAAACGACCTCTCATTTGAAGCTTTATATCAGTTTGAATTTTCAACTATTAAGACAAAAAAAGAACAGATATATGTAGCCAACACTTTGCTCTACACTTTTGCTTCAAGAAAACTGAAACTTTCGTTGAGTTTCGAAAGAGAAATCAGAGGTTGAAGTTCGGTTCGAAAAGCTCCGTTTATTAACGATTGGAGGTAAAATACTCAACCAAATTTCTAGTTCTTTATATGGAAGGCTTTGTTTTTAGGTCCTCTATGAAACCTTAGTAGCCTTATGTCTCAGATTTTAGTTTTTGATGTTCGATTTTGAGTTTTTTACTTATTTTCGAGTGGTTTTAAGACCATAACTTTAAACGAGCGTATGAGACTCAATACTTGATTATTTTGTTCCTATGGTTGAGGAAAATCATTTTCTAGAGATTTTGCAAAAAGAGTCATAAAAAACGATGAAGAAACGAGTCCAAACGGCCTGTTTTTCCGGCGCCGGCGTGTGAACGTTTGTTGGCTGGTCGTTGGCCTTTGTTGGGCCACGTTTGTTATATTATTAAATACTAATTCAATTTAATATATTAACTAATTTAGAAATTAAATTAATTAGTTAATATAAACTAATTAACTAAATCTGAAATTTATTAACTATAAATTAACAAAATCTTATAAATTGAATACTTAAATTGAGCCTCCAAAAGGAATATGGGCTTGTTTTGTTTAAATAATATCTAGCCTAAAATATTGTCCAATAAGTAAGTTGCTAGTTTTGGCCCAACATTAATAGAATAAAATATAATTATATATTTTCTAAGGAGGATGCTTATATAAATCAGTAAATTGTTTTGATGATTTAAGCATCGTGATTTGAGTAAAGTAAATATTTGTGACGTTTTAATTTGGAGAGATGAGATTATAAGATATTAAAATGTTTTTTTGCGATGACATCGAGTCTTAGACTTGGGGATTGACTAAAGTTAGTCGGGGTTGACCGAGTTGACCAAATGTTGACTTTTGACATGTTTGATCCATGTGGATTTTAATGATGGGTCAATAGAGTTGTTTGAGGTATATTAAGATGCTCGGATACGAAGTTTGACTTTAGGTTCGGTCAAAATGACAATAGTTGACTTTTGTTGACTTTTTGAGAATTTAAGACGTTAATGAGATATTATGGTATGAAATGTGTAGGCATTTGGTCAAGAGTTATCGGTAACCAATCTATACGCAATCAGGTGAGTCTTCATGAGACTTACAATGGGATGCATACCAATGTATAAATTTATTTTCGAGCATTATATGATTTATATGAAAATGTGTACATATGCATGATGTTTCAGTTTACAACTTTGCATACATGATATATTTTACATGTATGTTATTTTATGATTAGTTGTATGCTATGTGTTTATTTTGTTTTCAAATAACTCTAGCATGTTATTTCTTTATGATCAGTTTTAACGGGTGAGCATTTGACCAAGAAGTCACATGACAAGTGGCACAACCCCGTAATGAGTGTCTAGATAGGTGCAGATCGGACAACTCAGGGAATGCCAGTGACTAAATGACTCATACCCGACATACAACTTATGAGATCTCTTTTCTTTCAGTGTTGCATGTTTTTCAGAAAATGCATACTATTTGGTACAAAGTTTACACGTTGATATGTATGATGTGAAATGATCTTTACTCACGCAAATCATGAACTCACTGAGCTTTATAAGCTGACTGTAGTATGTATCTCAGGGACAGAAGGTTTCAGGTTGGACAAAGAAAAAGAAGGGCATACATTGAGACTTGTCTAGTCCATTTAAGTTCAATATTTAGGTGCAATCATCTATGATATATAAGTTTGTAAAGCAACCCGGTATGGGACGGGCTGACATTAAGTTATATATTTATTCTTTTAAAGTCTTCCGCTGTAAACGGTCTAAAGTTTTAATTTAGCCATTATTTTTGGAGTGCTTTTGGAGAATCTGTTTTAGATTACGTAACATTTCTCATGGTAAAAATATGGGCGCTACATCAGATTTCGCTTTTTGATTTTCGTTTTCGTTTTCGATTCAAGAACTGCATCTCTTTCCCAGATTCAAGAAATCGATTTTGTTTCTTAATTTTGCTTTCATTTTCTGATTACGATTTCATTTTTTTGATTTCCTGTTTGTTTTCAATTCAAGAACTCGATTCAAGAATTGCATCTCCTTCCAAGATTCAAGAACTCGAATCACCACAACATCTCCTTCCTAGATTGAAGAACTCGATTGTGTTCTCGTTTTCAATTTCGTTCCAGATTTCTTTTGAAGTTTCTGAGGTTCGTTTTTTATTTTGATTTTGATTTTATTTTCGATTTCGATTTCCTTTGAAGTTTCTGATAATTTTTGTTTATTGTTGTCTATTCCAGATTTCATTTTCGAGGTTTCTTTTTAAGTCTCTAATAATTTTTCTTATCTCTTGTTCCAGATTTCGTTTCTGATTTTATTCCAAACCTCAGTTCAAAACCCTCTTTACATTTCTATTCTCTATGCGTCTTTCCCATAACCGAATCGTAACTCTCAACTCTTAAGTTCAGATTGTTCATTGACTGTTTATGGTGCAGATTGTTTCTGATTTCAAATGTTTTTTTTTTTGTTGAAGTGTAAAATTGTCATTTCTATCTTTCAAGCGGTTAATTCAGTAAAAAAAAGTAAACGATAACAACTTTTTATCTAGACAGACAAATTTATTCATACAGAACTTAATGGAAATTTTAGTAAACAACTCCCAAGTCAAAAATACTTAGTTAGTTTTCTTTATCGTGTCGAGTCAATATTGCAAGATTTGTCAGCATTTAGCTTCGATGTTGGAAGTATTTCTTGCGAGTGTCGAAAATAAAAACCGCATGTTGGTGTCGAAAATAGATAACGATTTTAGAAAAAGACCGTTGATTTATAATTTATAAAGAGCTTGATAAATTATGAAACTGGTATTTTTAATATTTTCTTACTGAATACATCTCAAGGGTTGTTTGATTGGTTTTTCAATAAGTCTTGTATGAACAAAAATGTTTGTGTGTGTTAATCTGTCTGTATAAATCGAGAAGATTTTTGTTTGAGATGTTTTTTTTCATAGATGAAACGAGTGTTTTTTTTAATTGGGAGGAACAAGTTTGGAAAAGAAGTACTTTTTGTATGACGTTTCCTAGAAGCTTGTTGAATAAGCTACTTTCTATATCATTAAGTCATTACCAAACAGTCATATATAGCTGACTGAATAAGTTGTGAGTTTCATTAATAGAAAACTCTTAGATAAGTGATTGGATATCTTTTTTCATAAAGATTTTGGTTTTACAACCAACATTGATTTCATAAAAACAGTTAAAATGTATGAAGTTGTGTGTTTTGAAATATGAGTAGTGATGGCCAAAAACCGGTCATGGGTCAGGTCAGACCGGTCCCAATCGGACCTTACCTTCTTTGTAACCGGCGGTAACCGGTCCAACAATAACCGGTCCCGGTCGAGAAAGTGATGACCGGTCAAGCCGACTCATAACCAGTTATGGGGCTATTGGTCCCGGTTCCGGTCCCAACTGACTGAATAAGTTTTTTATTATTATTTAGAGTAAATTATGTTTTTCGTACATGTGATTTGTTAAAACTTGTGATTTTCGTCTCTGGGTTTTAGAAATTGCAGTTTTCATCTTTATGGTTTTTAACTTATTGCTATTTTTGTTTTTATGATATACAATTTGTTGCTTTTCGGTCCCTGTGGTTACAATTCTTTACTGTTTTAATCCCTTGTAATTAAAGGTAGAAATCAGTCAAGGAATGAAATAGCAATAAAATGTAAACTACAGGGACAAAAATTGTAATTTCTAAATCACAAAGACAAAAATTGTAATTATTAACAAACCATATAGACGAAAATCGTAATTTACTCTATTGTTTATTGATATCAGTATCAACTAACGACGATATCTTAGGGGCCGTTTACTAAACACTTACTTGGTAAGTGCTTACCGGAAAAATTTCCTTATCGGATGAACATGAGAAGAACCAAAAATCTTACCGGATAAGAGCGATGAGAATGATGGAGAGTCTTACCCGGTAAGTGAGAATGACGACTCTTACCCAAGTAAGCGCTTACCCATTAAATTGTTGCATTCGATATGTTTTGATGTACTAAATCTTATGCATCAAAATAAATCATAGTGTTGACTCCTATTGGTAAGCGCTTACCCATTAAATTGTTGCATTCGATATGTTTTGATGTACTAAAATCTTATGCATCAAAATAAATCATAGTGTTGACTCTTATCGGTAAGCGCTTACCGGGTAAGCAATTAGGTAAACGGGCCCTTAATATGATAGTAAAGCCCATGACTAAAGCCGATCAATCATACATTCTCTATTGAAAACGAGTCATTTCAAGCTAACTCAAGCCCAGTTAACTGGCCTAAAAAGGAAAAAGGTAAAAACTGCTATTAAAAAAGAGCATATTATTTCTTTCTTATTTCTGAAATAAAAGCAATAAATAATCACTATTCTGATATTCAAATTCAATAGAAAAAGTTATACGTTTAAATCTTCTTGTTCGAAGCTTTGGATCGGGAAATTTTTTCTTTCCATAAACAACGTAGAGGAAGAATGAAGGGAATATCTTATCGAGGTAGGGAGGGAAGGAACTGACTTTTTCTAACTCAGTGCCTCTAGAACTGCTCAGCTGGATAAATTCACTTATACGCTCAATCAGTATTCTGGTGAGCCGGAACGCAAAATCAGTCCAAATTGAATTTCCCTTCTTCCAAGAGCTAAATCGATGACCTCGAGAGAGCAGACGACCAGTAGATTTTTTATAGTTTGACTTCTTCGATTTTTTTAACTCATAGAAAGACATTTATGGGACCAATCAAGGGGCGGGTCGGACCAAAATTTCAAGACCAAGACATGTTAAGTCCCTACCGGAGCCTACGAAAGATCGGTTCACTTTTTTTGTTAGACCGGTTCTTGTGCATCTTTAGTCTTAACAACGACCAATCAATCAATGTTGTATTGTGGTTGATAAAAGGGAGTAAGGGGCCGTTTACTAAACGTTTACCCGATAAGTACTTACCGGGTAATTTTCCTCACCGGACATGACAAGAGCCAAGAGTCTTACCCGGTAAGTGAGAGTGACGACTCTTACCCGGGTAAGCGTTTACCAGGTAAATTGTTGTATGGGATACCCAATATAATAAAATTATAGTGTTGACTCATAACGTTAAACACTTATCGGGTAAGTATTTAGGTAAACGGCCCCAAAGTATCAACTAAATGACTTTTTGCATACAAGATATATTAGTTAAAAGTTTTTTCATCCCATCTTCTCTTAACTATCAAAGGGTCAGTACTCGTGTTAGTGGTAGATCCTGACCTCCTTGGGTTTGGGATCATGAAACCAATCCAAACCATTCAATGAGTTTGATTATAAGTTATAATTTAATATGTTATGTTCTTCTGTATAGGTGTTTATATATATGTATATGTATGTATGTATCTATATAGAAGCGCATATTTGTTTTTTTCTCCATATGCAATAAAATGTTGAACGTTTTATATATGAAACAACACTGTATTTTTGTCTTTTTCGCCACACACAATAAAGTCTTGAACATTTTATATATGAAACAACATTGTATTTTCTTCTTGTTCCCCACATGCAAGAAAGCTCTGACCGTTTTATAAATGAAACAACATTGTGTGAACACCGTTCATAAGCTGTTGTTTTATATATGAAAAAACACAAGAAAACCAATTTGTAAGTTTGTAACATTCATTGGGAAAATTGCATTACTCTTTCACTAATTCAAAAACCGAAACAATATTCATAATGAATATAACAAGGAGACGTCCTACGTGAACAGCCACAAAGGCCCATCAATAACCAAAATTGATATCGGTTACTAGTATTCTAGTCGCTAATCGGACCCTCATTACTGCATTCAATTATAATTAGAACTAATTAAATAATAAACTGCAGAACTTACGGTAGCATCTGCGCAACCTCATTCGGGCTGCTTTATTTCTCGTGAATAAGGGGACCGTAAATAGGATACCACATGTTGTGTGTTACATATTCCACAGTTTCTTCCTGCATCCATCATTAGGATTCATAATGAAGATTAGAAACCAAACCAAACAAACCCAATATATCCCACCCGAAGGCAGGGTCTTTGGGGGAGGAGGGGGGAATAAAAATTCCGTTAGGAACCCAAAATTGATAAGGAACCCTAGAACCGTCCACAACGTGCCATGTGTCCTTCAAGATGAATAACACATTCATGATGAAGATGGAAGTGTTACTCATCATGAATCAGACATTCATGATGAATAACACGTACATATCCCTGATGCATATGCCACATGTCCTGCTATTGGCGGTCCCTAGGTTCTTAGTGAAATTTATGGCCCCTAGGAGGGGGGAGGGGAATGTAAATTCCATTAGGAACCCAAAATTGATTAGGAACCTAGAACAGCCCAAAGCATGCCATGTGTCCTTCTACAAGATGAATATTCATCATGAATATGGAAGTGCTATTCATCATGAATCACATATTCATGTATTCATCAGGAATGTATGGAAGTGTTATTCATCATGAATCACACATTCATGATGAATACAGTATAATATTCTTGATGAATAACATGTCCATATTCCTGATGAATGTCAGGTATCGCGTTGTGGGAGGTCCCAGGTTCTTAAAGAAAATTATGCCCCTCGGGGAGGGGGAGATGTACGCAGATCCATCCTCTGCCCCAATAGACAGAGGCTGTTTCAATAATGAAGGTTGCTATAATGGAAAAAAAATGGGTTTTAGTGTTGAGATTATATCGTACTTTTGACATGTGTCCTAGCTCTTTGGGCCCCACTTCACCTCGGCCTTCCGCTAGTTCTTCAACGACAGCTGTCCGAAGCACAGCAGCTCCTACTTCAGCAGTGATATTCCGAATACTGTAATCATAGAGCAAAACGTATATTGTACTGGCAAGTCGAGTAGAAGTCCCAATATATAACCCTTTCTGGAGTATCGTTTAAATAGTCCCTCTATCCCAAAAAAAAGTCAATTAAAAATATAAAAAAACCCAAACGAGTCGGGTCTTGCAGCTACCCCGGGAGGTAGAGAGGTTGTTTCCGTCAATTTAGATATTAAAAACTATTAGAAAGTAGAATTAGTAACTTTTACACGAATTTTCAAGTGGATGAGATTGGTCGAGTGGTCTCAGTTGGAGATGGGATTGCACGTGTTTATGGGTTGAACGAGATTCAAGCTGGGGAAATGGAAGCTAAAAGACCCCAATGTTACCTTTTTGTTTTCCCCTCTAACCCTTGTTTTCACCATAACATTTGCATAAAATGTAGAGGGAGGCGTATTTGATGTTCTAGAAGAGAATTATGTTTTATTTTGAAATTATATTAGTATAACATACGTTTGTTACACCTTGTTCCATAAGGTAGGGGTGGACCATGCCTGTTTCACTTTGTTCCACATAAAAGTCCTACCAAACATGGAACATTGATCCCTGTTCTGTTTTGTACAGTGGACCATGCCACTGTAACTCCCATGGGATTAGTTGACGCACGCACAAGCTAAAGCTTAGCCCAAACTCCCATCGTTTTTTAAAAAAAGGTAGTTAACAACTGCCCTTATTAAATAACAAAATACAGGATACAATTTTGATTGCCACATCCTTAAAAAATTCGAAATTTAATGTGAAATTGCAGGTGTTTCTTTTGAGAATGGTACCTGTTGATAGATGGATACAATATACCCTTCTGGATGTCTGCTTCTGTCATATATGAGGCAAGACTGAACAGATGAAAAAAGAATCAGTTCCGGTTAAGCAAATATTCAATTAACAACACCAACACTAAAGTCTTAAAGATTAGTTCCCGATATGTTATATAAAAATCGAGCAAAAACTCAAACAGCATGAAAATGATTCATCAAACTTCTGTGCATACCCATTCACAGATGCATTTTTATTTAAATTCAGCATAAACCACAAAAGAGTAACGTAAGTGGTTAGTTTAACCGGAGGCTGACCTAGAAATTTTTTCAAGTGGTGGCACCATTTGACTATAAAAAACGAAGCTATGGATATTTTTAGAAAATTATTATTGGTCTGTTGTTCCTTTTTTTGTATGTGAGGTCCTATGTTCGAGTCTTTTATCCCAAATTTTCTTGAGAAACATAATAAAGCTGAAATTAAAAAATTAATAAAATAAGAAAATGATAAAAATGGGATTTGAACCCGCGCCTGGAAGGGGAGAAAAAAAACCATGCAAACCAACTCTACGAAGTGAACTTGTGTTATTATTGTAACTTCAAGGAATATACAGTTGCACCCAAAAAAATATTACAGTGGCACCTTTCAGGATCCTAATTTTTTTACACTACGACAGAGGAATGAACCCCCCCCCCCCGCGAAGTCTAACCACCATTAGAGGATATTTTAACCTAAAGGGTGCGTTTGGCACATGGACGAGACTAAATTGGACGGCCGAGAGAGAGGTAGGTAGGTGAAAGAATTGTGAAAGGTTTTAGAGTTGTAATTTGACATTGGTAGTTTAGTAATTTACCAATCATGTGTCGTCTCCTTATTTGTTCCACCTATTTTGGTAGGAAGGAAAAAATCCATTTTTGTCCCACTCAACTCATGTCCCAATCTAATGTCACACCAAATGTGGGACAAAAAGTTTTTGTATTGTCTTGTCTCACGTAATCCCGTGAAACAAACGCACACTAAGTGGTTTTAATACAAATGGTTAACCTTAAAAGGAAAGGTCAATTCAAGGCCACAAGAAGTGATAGCCACCAGATAAAGAGCAATGAAGACAAGATAATAAAAAGAAGTTGCTAGGAATTTCAATATGTAAGAACCCCCGGTCCTAGCTTTTCGAAGTTTTCTCCGTCCCACAAAATTTGCAATCATTTCCTATTTGGGATGCTGAGTGAAGATTGAAACAAGTACTCTTTTGTAAAGTTTCCAGTAAAATTACTCCCTCCGTCGCAAAAAACAAGTGTCCACTTTTAAAAGCAAGTGTATACTTTCCGATTCTAACCTTGATTATGAGATGAAGAAAGTCATTGCTCCATCTACTATTAAGGGTGAAAGTGTCACTTAGTTAATTAAAAGTTGTGGTATTTACACATTTCTAAAATTGTCTACCTTTTCATTGTGGACATTTATTTTGGGACTGAGGGAGTACCTATTTATTCATTATCACTATTGAGGGAGGTTCAGGAAAAACCCCAAAAAAAATGAAAAACCAAGGAAATGAGGAACACCCTGGTAACCGTTCATCTGTACGCATGTGCATACAAGTAATTGAAGTTGTTTCTTGGTTTCTATCATGCACACGTGCATACCGGGCAAATTACTTAAGTCAAACGTTGCAATTTTCATGAAGCTGAGTAAGTAGATAAGGTAGGTTTCTCGCTCATTCTAGTAATAAGTACCATGCAAATATGATCATCTTACATTCAACTTCATGAGAAAAAAGAGCATATAAAGCAATTAGATTTTCAATTCAAATTCAATACGTTTTTGTTTAGATCATACCATTCAGCAGCTGCTTGCAACATTCCATCGGATATAATATGAGCACCAGAGAGCAAAGCTCCCAAACCGATCCTGAGCAACCAAAGGATATGAAATAAATATAGCAAATTAACAACACTCGAACAGCATATTTAGAGAAATAAGCACATACCCGGGGAAGAGGTACATGTTATTTGCTTGATTTACATGGCCGACTTTACCATTTCCTATGTGTCAATGAAGTCGATAAGAAGCAAGAGGCAAAGGAGCAGAAGCAAGTACAATGGTGTCAATCATATAAAATTTATGCATCAAAATGCAACAAAGTTTGCCTTGGCTCCTATTTATGGGGGCGTTTGGTTCGCAAAATTCAAATGATTCCAAGGGAATTGGAATGGTCAATTCCTTTGACCAAATTCCAATTCCTTTGTTTGGTTCACATATTGATAATGTGGGAATACTTTGAATTCCTTAGATTAAAGATTTCACAATTCCACGGGATATCCCAAAGATTCCAATTATTCCATTCCAATTCCATTCAACCAAAAGCGTGGTCAATTCCATCAAATTCCATTCCAATTCCTACAAAGTCAAATTCGTTTGACGGATTCCTATTCCACTTAATTCCATTTTGTGAACCAAACGTCGAAACGACCCTTGAGTGGAACAAAGAATTTTTATCTCATATCAATTTAATGAATTTTCAAAATTTCCTATCTTTACCACATTTTGACCGGTAACTAGCTGATTTCCTAACATTTGATGACATGGATGTCAAGTTTATTGCCGACTTTGCTGTAACTCGTTCCCGTAAACCTCTCATAAACGGATATCCACGACATCAAATGTTACAAGAACAAGTTACCTGTCAAAATGGAGTACAAAATAGAAATTTTTGAAACTTTGTTACACTGATTGAGAAGGAAAAAGAACTTTGAGTTACACTAAATAGAAACTAAACCAAACTTTGTTGCATTTTGATGCATTTTGCCAAAAAAAAAATCAGATTTAGCTGAACAAATGCAACATGAAGAAATAATACCAAGATCAACATTCTGAAAAGGGCTCCCACTTCCAAAAACTATGTTTTCACCAGCGTGTTTGAAAGCATCAGCAGCAGTGCATTCAGCTGTTCCATAAATTATATATAGTCAATAGAAGACTGAAAAGCTTAATGAAGATAACCAAAAAACCTTTGGCCTAGCGGTATCGTAGCCCTTGGCCTTCTAGGAGGTCAGGGGTTCAAACCTCACCATAGATGAGGAGGGTGTGTGAGTTTATTTGTTACATTTGCCGTATATAAATATAATATACTTAAAAAAAAAAGCTTAATGAAGATATATATATATAGAGAGAGAGAGAGAGAGATTCAGGGGAAAACATCTAAAAAAAGAGGAACAATCTAATAATCATTCATCTATATGGTATGCACATGTGCATACAAATAATTGAAGATGTTTCTTGGTTACTATGCACGTGTGCATGTTATGCACATGTGCATATTGGAAAATTACTTACGAATTACTTGTACATGTGCATACTGTACAAATGAATAGTTACTATGGTGTTCCTTAGTTTTTCATTTTTTTACGATTTTCTCCTGAACCTAACCCTATATATGTATATATATGAAAATTTCACAAAGAAACAAACCATTCGTTGTGGGATTTGACATGGCAAAAATTGCAGGTTTAGGGGAGTCGGAGTCTCGCATGGCCTTAAGCACCTGAATATATGACAAGAAAACGACATGACTTCAATGAAGCAAAATTTAGACGTTTTATTGTTTCAGGAAGTGATAGTTTCTTGATCTGATTAGAAAGATGGTAGACGAGAGAGAAAATTAGTGAAATTACAATGAGTGTTCTGGACACAATAATTGAATAATTTAGCATGTCTGTCCCTCTCTACTTCTATTTGGATTGCTATTGTGTACTCATAGCTATTTCTATTTGGATTGCTATTTCTATTTGGATTGCTATTGTGTACTCATAGCTAACTTTACAATGTTTAGTGTATCAGTTTTTCTCCCTTCCTCACATTTTCACTAGCCAGGGATCTTCACGGAAACAGCCACCCTACTCTTTAGGATAGAGGTCAAGCATGCATACATCTTACCCCCTTCCCCAGCGGGACCCACCTAGGCTCGTTTGGTTTTCTGAAAAAATCAACATATTTTTCATTCAAATCTTAGTTGCAATTGAACTGAGGTGGTTATTATAGCCACTACTACTAGATACATGTGCTTCTCCTAAAAGAAATTAACAGGCAACTCTCACTAACTGGAGTTGGGATGTATTCTAACTTCAATTTTTGAGTAAGAAGAACATAAGCTTTACCTTCTGCATGTTGTTAGCAAATGTGGACATAGGATGGCATTGGATTCAAGATGACCAGAGAGCCTCATAGTGTGAGATTATATAAAACTATAATCCTTTAAGAAAGGTAAGCACTGGACTCAGGATAAACCACAGTAAAAAATAGTAAGCACCTGCTCATTGAAAATACCTCCAACTCCTGATAAACCAAGAAGGACATGCGGCTTGACCTTTTTTACCTGCAAAATATCAAAATTTGGCATTCTGGTAAGCAGGAAATTGCAGAACTTTAAGGAGAGCTCTCATTCTAGAAAACAAACGACCCTTTACGAAGGAAAGAATTCCTGATCATTTTAGAAAGAGATGTACCACTTCAAGGAGATCAGATCCCTCCCGTAGTCCTAGACTATCAACCTCTCCAATGGCTTTAGCAAATGGTGCAGCTGATGGGTCAACGCCAGCTCTCTCTTTTGTCATCAAACCCTGCAACAATAATTAAGAACTCCTCAGAGGTGAAATGCCATATTTTAGTGAATAATACCATAAGGCACGATTAGATAATAGGAGACACTTATTTTCTTTCTTCTTTTTCTCTAGTTTCGTTTGGTTTTTCTTCTTTTACTCATTTGGATTTAACCACCCAGGTCAATTCACAATATATTAACAAAGAGTGATTGACTTTCTAAGCCATAGCCTTAAATTTTCCATTGCAAAGAAGCCTTCATCCTTGTGAAAATGGAAAAGGAAAACAAGACACTTTGCGACAGCAAGCAATTTTGAAAAATTAAGGGCCCGGTATCTTTCTTTGCATTTAGATTTTCATAATTTGTCAAAATTCACTAATTCTTGCGACCTGTAATGCTATGTTTGTCATTTTCACAAGAGCAATGATTATTTTGCAATGAAAAAGCAAGTACACGGTTCAAACATCAATCACTCTATAAAAGATCAACGACCCTTGAACGAATGGATGTAGTAAGTTGAACTTGAATCATGGCATGGATGTTGGAAATGTAAAACCATACATCTTTATCAATTAAGTAAAACTGAGGGTTTGCCGTCTTTCCTGTCATTCTTGAAACAGCCTGAAAGGCCATGTTAAGAACACCAAGCCCTGCACTGTAAATAAAATAGGGAATATGAGATTCTGGGGAGCCAAGATATAACAAAAATTATTAATATAAAATACTGGGAAAATTGAGTTTTGAACTACCTTCCAGCTCCAACAACAACAATCTTTTGGTTTACGAAGTCCGACAATGGCTGACCTTGTGCTCTAACAGTTCCAAGCAGTCCAGCTAATGCAACACCAGCAGTTCCCTAAGAAAGAAAATAAACATATGGGGAAACTTAATAAAACTTTAGCATAAAATCAAAACTTCTAAAGTTTGCTTCTTTAAGAGCAGAATATGATAGATAGGCTCTAACCTGTATGTCATCGTTGAACATGCAGAACTTCGTTCGGTATCTTTGAAGAGTTTCAAATGCCCACTTGAATTGAAAATCTTCAAACTGATTCAACATGGCCATCCAATAACATAATGATACAACATCAAACCAGTAAGGTTACTCTTTTGTGACTAAATGGTAACAGGGTTAAGGCATGAGAAAAGCCTCTTTGCAAATATGCAAAGGAAAAGCTGAGTACAACTCCCCCCAACCTGGCAAAGCTGAGGAGCCTTGACAAACCAGCTCACCCTTTATAATAAAACAACATCACATATAAGAAAGCCAGACTCTTGAAAGAAGTAACCTGGACAATAGCTTTTGGCCAACGTGCATGAAGAGCTTCCATCAGTTCATCCACTACTGATATATATTCTTCTCCTTCCAACCTTCTTTCTCGTAGTCCTAAATCTGCAAATGTAAATTGCATTAAAGTAAATCTTTTTGTAGTCTTCAAAGAATAGAACAAGAATTTAATTGTCCAATTCAGCTTCCTAAATATTGGTTTCTTTTTTGTTCCACACTTTTTGACAACAGAAGATAAATTTCAGCCAAAAGATTTATGTGGTGCAGTTGGATTACTCACAACTTATGTAGTTTATTAGCTAATCACTTTCACCTATTGTGTATCCCTCTGCTTTCTTGTCATTTCATGTTGGCCCCCCTAGCAGGCTAAATCGTAAGGCAGAGTTTCATCAAGTGTCATGTTTTTTTAAGTAGATAATATTTATATACGGCAAATGTAACAAATAAACTCACATACCCTCCTCAACTTTGGTGAGGTTTGAACCCCTGACCTCCTAGGAGGCCAAAGGCTCTGATACTGCTAGGCCAAAGGCCCTTTGGTATGGCGTTGTATGTATTTGACATTAAAGTGAGAGAAAACAGTTTTCTGGATTAAGATTTAGACTAAAACAACCCAACAGAATGTAAATGAGTACTAAATGCTAAACTTTAGACCACATCTCAGAAACAACTTGGAACCAGTGAATTCCCAGGCAAGAAAGAGATGATAAAAGACTACCGACTCTAAGAGACTGCATAATGAAAACAATTGTTTGTTTGTATCTACTTACAAAGACGATCTTCTAGTAGCTTTTGATTGTTGGTTCCAACATCAAGCATAATAGGGAGGACCTGTATTAGCAAGAATATATAGCAATCATCATAAGATTCCATGTCAAGTATGACAGTCAGAGATATCTATATGCAAGTATGCAACTAGTATAGCACATAAATTCAAGTTTTGACACAAAAAAGCATACCCTTTGTGGATTGATACCAGCAGCAGCAACATACATATCGAGTTTCCCAATAGGAATGCCAATTCCCTGAACTCCAAGATCACCTAAGCCGAGAATGCGACTGCCATCTGTAAGCACTATCATGTCCACCTGAATAATTTGTTTACAACTAAACTTGGTCAAAGAAAAATACCCAGATTGCAAAATAACTGATTTTGACCAGTTTTGTCCTTTCAATGTACTCAAATCCGTAAAAGAAAACTCAGGAAATTAGTATAAATAAAGAGAATGATGTACAAAAAACTGTCTGAACCAGAAAATAATCATTGGCAATGGCATTCCTATGTTAAAAACAGATCAATAAGTACATATAACCACTTTTGCAATTCACGGTGTACCTCGGGAGCTGGCCAGTTATAAATCATCGACATCATCTCTCCTTTATCTTTCGCACTGAAGTACATTCCACGTGGGCGTCTAAACAATCCTGAATAGTTTTGGCATACCAGACCTACCGTAGGAGTGTATATTATTGGAGCAAAATCTTTAATGTTATCAATCAGTACCTGGATAGAAGAAAAAGAACCTTTTTACATTATTACAATCTGTTTGATCATTCAAATAGTATGGTGCCAGTCAGTGAACATACTCTGTAGTATAATGTCTCATTCCTGTCATGTAACCTATTCAAGATTCTCCATTTTGCCAAAGATACGACACTATCTGGTTGACCTGCCGTATTCTTTTCCAACGATCGATATGACTCCACTAACAATAGACATTAAGGTATTAGTATTGGCTTGTTGCAACCTTAATGCTATTCTTGTAAGCAAACAAATTTGATACAAAAGATTAAGAGGAAAAAATGAAGTGTACAGATTTGCATACAAACACAACATAATCACGTGGACATCTTGATAACTAAATTCTGATATACTTTCCATACTTGAAAACTGAATCCAGAAATGCCAAATATAAGGAGCAAATAATGTAAATGCGCTAAAAAATAGGTGTCTACATCAGTGACGTGCATGTAAACTGATCAGAAAATCCTCTAACTTGAAGATCCTTAGACACCAGCATAGCAAATTCAGTAGCATCCTTGAACATAAATGGCAAGTAAATATATAGAAACATGTGTTATGAGCAGCTCAGTAGAATTATCTGCTGGTCCACAAGCACTTCCACTACTGTATGCAAACACTGCCTGTTTGGCAAATCAAATAAGTACATGATTGACCATTTAACTGAAATCGGTAAGTAAGAACTACACATCTTATTCAATTGTAGAATCACCGATTTCGTAGAGCTATAAACCAAAAATAATTCGCAAGTATGTTGTTGCATAGTTTAAAGGGTGGAAAGCAAAAACAGGATTATAAGAAATGTAGAACTCACTAAAGCGTTCATATTGCTGTTCAAACGATATAACACGAGGTGGGAGGAGACCACGAATCCCAAGTCGGTCTCTTTCAGTCAAAGGAAACCCAGTATCCTGCTCTTGGATATTCCAGAAGTAATTATTAGTCAGACGCTACGGAAAAAGAATTACATCAACTATATCATTTCATTTCAAGAAGCAGGTAAAGCAGGATAAATATAAAAACCTTAAGTGGATAATTCTTAAACTATAAGATAATAAGTATTAACATTTAGTTTGTAGCGATAATGAACTTTTGTTTATTTGGAAAACTTGAAACTAAATGATTAATTGAATAATAGACACTATTGTGTAATAGTTGGTGACACTATTAAGATTTGATAAATTGTAGCCTTAATCCATGTCTTGAGATTCTACAAAAAGAGTACAGGAAAGGTTAAATTAACAAGCATCATTACATGAAAAATGCATATAGACATCATTCACTCGCACACAGGGGATTGCTAATGCCACAGCTTTTACACTTGAGAGTCAATCGGGTCATCTATTAACACAGCAACACATAGAACTTTAGGCCTGAATGTTTGGTTATCACCAAACTCATTACCTTCAAATCCAACAATACCAAAAAGATCCTTCTTGTCTATTCGTGTATGATTCTAGTAATCTCCCAATAAATGAATCCCACCCATGGTTGACTTCTGATATACAACTTGGCACTGATGGATCTTACATGCCACAGTCCATGCTCAAGCATCCTCTCATCAACTCCCTTCAATGCATCGCTGTATACCAGCTTAGAATATCTCCTCCCTATAAAGTTTGGCAGGAGTGCTCTGTTTCCACTCTTCTAGGTTTTGTTGGGAGGGATTCAAACATTTAGTTCTGTTAAGCAGATTGATCAACCAAGATAATTTTGGCATCCTTCTACACACTGTCAATAGGGATTTATATGATATTAGCTTAGATTTATTTCCATTTTCTTTCATGCATTTGTGTCATCTTTGAATGGGAATATTGCTTCTAAGATGATACAAACAAGTTATAGCTTCTAAAGCGCGGGAAATGTTAAATTGGCAATAGAAATGCTAAACCTTACATAGTTACATGACATAATTTCCTATGTTGTTGCAAGATTTCAAGATTGTTTTACGCACCACGCAAGGTTGGTAATTGATATATTCTAACATACTGTCTTTATTAAAATTAATAGCAAGAAAAAACATGGATGCAACATTAGAGGTGAGGGCTGCCTTGATGAGATGTGCTAAATTTGGAATAGTAGAATAATAATAGTTGATAAGTTTGTAACAACTCTATGATGCTATCTAGCATTTATCAAGAAAATATAGAATGAAAGAAAAACATTGGTCCAAAATGAAGTGGTTGTTCGAAAATAGGACTTCTTGCTAGACTCCATAACATGAAGATATTTTATAGTTGCAGTATCTATATATAAGATTTCAACAGAGATGTGAAGTTGCTGCATAAACACAAGAAAACAATCCAGCCAATGAGCATTCAGCTACACTTTGTGTAATATCTCAATCCCATAGTAGCAGACCATACAAGACAACCTTCAAACAACTAAACCCATGGTGAGAATTCTTTGGTAGCCTACAACCAAGAACTCATAAGTCATAAGGGGCTACAAATTCCAATAGTTACTGATGCGGGACAAGGTGTTACAATACCAATAGTGTACTAGGTAACACAAATTGCACACAAATGAAGACATGCCCTTGACAAGATATGCCGCATAGTAAATCAACACAAGTATTGTTCTTATTTAATCATCCCTCCAATCTGCTTTCTAGAAAAGGGTAATTTCCGGAAACAAGAGATGTGTGGTTAACTAGAAAGAATAAGACCAGGAATATTTTCAGGGTTAGTTTATGATAACCCAATCAATGAATACATCTATCCTCTTTGGACCACCGAAAAGGTTGAACTCCTCTAACTTTTGGAACAAAAGGGTATATATTCCTTTTTAACAAAGATGGTCAGAGCCCCATAATTCAAAAAAGCGATTAGCCTTTCACACCATTGTAAGTAGAGTTTTTTTTTTTTTTTTTACTAGTGCCATATCTTCTCAATATTTCTGCCAGTCACAAGTACGTTGGTCTCATCCGAAGTGGTTTAAGGGAGTCATTTATGGCAACCACCAACTTGCTATTTTTTTCTTTCTTTTGAAGTTAAGAACCAGTGTTTCCACATGTGAATTTTATTTCCTATATGCAACCACTCATCAAAAATGTTGGCTGTTTAGAAACAAGGCAGCAGGCACAACGGTATAAAACAAAAATCTACAACCACCACCAATGCTATCACCAAACTCAGAGATTTCTATTTTTCCTTCCAAAAATAGAAAATGGTAGTTTGAAAAAAGGGAACATGTGCCTTTTTAAGTCATTATCTATAAAATAGAAGTGGGTGTGATGGCCCCTTTATTTGGTTTTCATATATGTGTCACCTTTGAGATGCTATAACTGGAGAGTGATGGGATACCTTTCTCCTAGTTTCGTAGTTATGGAAGGTTCCAGAACTTTTAATATAAAATCATAAACTAAATAAAAAATTTCCCCACAAACTTTTTTGTAAATTTTGCTCCTGAAGCCACTGCCAGACCTAACCACTCTATTCCAAAACTCAGAACATTAACAACATGATACTTCAAATAAAATATCGATTCAATATCCACAATCATAACAAAAATACTGCAAAAACTCTGTATATCAAATAAACTCCAAATTTATTGTAATCTAAACCTAATGCTACCTTTACCATAAATAAGTTGCACTCCACGCAACAATTCTAGCGAAATAGGTACAAAAGAATTCACTATTTGATATCAGAATTACGTAATATCAAAGCAACAAACCTTGTTAAACCAAGGATCATGAAGAATATCAGCTCCACGTTTATGAACAATACACGGACCAGGAATCAAAGACGGCGATGCCGAGATAGAAAACCTCCGTAAATTTTCCGCCACCACGGCAGATCGAGCCACGGTCCTCCTCCACATGTCTCCCTAAATCAAACAAAAACTCAGAAAATCACTTCTTATGATGTCAATTTTCAGAGGAAAAACATGTTTGGCGTGCTGTTCGTATATATATACATAGAGAGAGATAGAGAGAAATTTGTATGACATATAGATACATAATAATGTGTACGTATAGGTTGAGAAGTCAGTGTCGTCTGTTGGGCAGGAAGACTGCCCGAGATTTACGGGCAGGGGGAAGGGGAATGGGGGAGGAATGTGAAAGAATCAAATTCCGGGCAGGTGAGTGTATGGTTGATTTGAACTGCCCAGATACGATACCCTAGTCGCAATCAGAGGGCTTATGGAAATGGTCTGGTTCACACGTTTAATATGGGAGTGGAATGTTTAGGCTTTCGCCGCGTAAAAGAAACAAATAAATTTTAATTTTTTTCATTTTTGTTTTTTATATTTATGCATTGTTTGAAAGTTGCTGAATGGTTATATATGAAATGACTAGAAAGATACTCGTACAATACAGCGAGATACATCTTGATTTTAGTGTGTAGTTTTATTCCTTATTTGAAGACGTTAAAATACGGTTTTTATGTGGCTTTGAGAAATGAATAATGTTTTTATTTTTAAATAAAATATAAATTTAAAAATATTATAAAATTTAAAAAATAAATATATCAAAATTAGTGTCAAATTAGCTATCTAAAAGTTATTGTTTTTTGTGTAATTTATTTAATTCAATTTTTTTTTATTATAATTTAGTTTAAATTTAATAACAAAGTAATTTATTTTTTATTTAATAATATGATTGATTTTTTTATAAGAATAGTAATTAAGAATTTTGTTAGAACTCAATAATTATCATAATTACATTTTAAAAATTTTATATTTAAAATAAGATATTTATCCGAAATTTGATTATGTTTATTTGCAGTTAGTTATACGAATTCGAAAATGAAACTTTAATAAGTTTTACTTACGCACAATTTACTTGTAATTTTAAATTTTAAGTAATATGCATTAATAAACGGTACTTCATGCATAAAGAATGATTTTAAATAGTTTTTGTCAAATGTTTTATAATATAGTATAGATTAAGTGATCAAAATGATTAAGAGACTCTCATGATATAGTGCAAAATGAAATATAACTTTTTTGTAATTGTTTACAATGAAATTAGGGTGTTGAATGGTTAAAGAAAACACATGATACAAAACTATTCAGAGAGTTTTAAAACCATTAAGAGACAGACTTTTTTTTACCAAACAAGATTCAGATGTTACCTCTTACTGAAACTTTTAAGAGGTAAACAAACAACCCCTAAGTAGTGTTTGATACGTAAAACACTATTTGATTGGACAGGACTATTTGTCTGGTGTTAGTATGATTAGAATATGATGGACAAGTTGTTCTTAAAAAAGTCATTTGACGATTTTATATGTCATTTTATAGCTACAAATGATAAAAATCAAGTGAAAATTTAAATAATATAATTTATAAAATAATTTTATATAATTTTCGTTTACATAAATGCATATATAATCAAATCTGAATGAATAATTTGGTATAATTGATGGTAGTTCGAAAAAAAACTCGGTATGTACGGATGAAACTTATGTTTTATTTGGCTTAGAAGATTCTTATGAATTGATAGATGTGATGGTGGGGATTGTTGCAATGATAATTTTGGATGTGACGGCGATATAATGATGTGGTGGATAAGGTAGAGGCGGTGGGACGGATATGATAGTTACTGGTGGTGGTGGAAGCGAAAGTGGTGATTGTGGCGAAGACAAGGGTGGACGACAATGGTGGTGGTTGAGGTAGAGGCGATGGTTTTAGTGGAATTAGAGATGGTTGACGATGGTAACATTAGAGGACATGAAGATGGTGGATAGCAGTGGTGGCGATCAGCGGTGGTAGAGGAGGTAGTAGTGGTGGTGGATATAGTGTCGTGATATACAGGGTTACGTAGTCGATGGTGGTGGATGTGGTAGTCGGTATGGTAACAACGCCCGTTAGTGGTGGATGTGGTAGTTATGGAGGAGGCGAAGGGGATGGCAATGGAAATTGATAGCGGTGGAGGTGGTTAATGATGGTCATCGGTGGTCGTCGTTGGGGTGGTGGTGACTGTAAAACCAAATACTGTATCAGGATTTATATCAAATGAGGATAAATTGATCAATTTTTTAGCTTTAACCCATTTTCGTCACACTGTGTTTCACCTGTTTCGGTGAAACAAAAGACAAATCACTTGTGTTCCAAATTGTATCTATCCTCTCTATCTTAGCATTCAACTTCTGGCACATTATTAAATCGTTTTGATATAAATATTTAATTTTATTTTATCCTTTGTTTAATGAAGTGATAAGATTGATGGGTGGATAAGGATACTAGGAGTAAGGATGGTGATTTGCCCAGTCCGATGGGGACTCAGCTCACTCGATCCAAACGGGGACGGGGATTCCCGCTAAAACAGGTTTCGCGACCAGGGATCCCCGGTAGATTCAAATTGGGGCGGGGTCGAGGGTTGTTACTCAAACCGAGGTTGATGTCGGAGTCAGGGATCCCCGGCATACTCAAACTAACGAATATTCTTCATGGGGTTTGACCGAGGACGAGATGTTAATCCCTGTACCCGCCGGGGACCGGGACTGGGGTCGGGATTACAAAACTCACCTCATCCCCACCTCGTTGCCATGCCTAAGTAGGAGGGGACGTGAAGTATCAGGACAATGAATACATATCACGCATTTGTAAAGCGAAACAAGGGTTTTCAATTATTTTCTGTTGTTTTGCATACATATGTACAATTCAAGTTAGAAAACCTTGTGTGCGTTTTTTTTATATGCATGGTCTGATTTAGAACCGAACTGTTTATGAGTCCATTATTTGTTATTTTTTTATTTTGTTATCATTATGACCTAATAAGCACCCTTGCAAACACTCAAAAATGTTATACATGACTTTAGGGGCCGTTTACCAAATATTTACCCGATAAGTGTTTACCAATAAAATTTAACACTATTATTTACTTATCGGGTAAGATTTTTGTTCACCGAAACGTATCGCATGCAACAATTTACCTGGTAAGCGTTTACCGTGGTAAGAGCGATCGCTCTCACTTACTGGGTAAAATTATTGATCCTTACCGTATTCATCCGGTGAGGTAATATGACTTAGCGTTTACCCGGATAAGCATTTGGTAAACACACACTTATAAATCATTTGACATGTTCCCTTTTTAGTTGTAATTTATATTTTTATCAAGACCTAATTTATTAACCACAAAAATTTAACTTAAATTGACTCATTTTCACATTAATATATCAAAATTTCACTTTATATTGAATAAATTATATATTTTATTTTAATTTGAATTACGTATATTGATGAAATGTTATATTAATTTAATAAAACTAGTCAATTTAATACAATGAAGCAAAAAGAAATGATAAAATAATATAAAAAAATATTGATTGTTTCGACTGTTATCGATTATCCATATTATATTATAAAATATTTATATATAAAGTATTGTTTGTTGATGCATATTATTTAAACTCAAGATTACAAGTAAACTGTGCGTAAGTACAACTTATTAAAATTTCATTTCTTTTTTCAATTCTTTATGATATCTTTATAGTTATATTTTTTTCAAAAATAAAAACATTATCGCTTTCTCAAACCCACATAAAACCGTATTATAACGTCGATTGAAAAAAAAACATTAAAATCAAAATGTATCTCACTGCATTGTGTAAGTACCATTTTAGTTTTTTTAAATATTTCGACTCAAATCAGATATAAAAAAAAAATCATTCTTCTATTAATTGTTGAAAGCGAAAAGAAGTTCACTCAAAAAATCCGTTGGGCAAGCGGATTCACATCTTTTACAACCGACTAGGGGTGTAATGATGCGAGTTGAGCTCGAGTATCGATATACTCGACTCGAACTCGAACTCGAACTCGATATCCATTTCTCAAGCTCGAACTCGACTCGGAAACTCACAAGTATTTAAAAACTAAACTCGACTCAAACTCATTTGAAGCTCGAATCAAGCTCTAACTCGAACTCAAATCAAGCTTGAACAAGCTCACCGATTGAAATTTATAAGGTCTTTTCTTGTAAGTTTTAAAACTTAAAGGTATTCTCTTAATTTTTATAAAACTAAAGAGATGCATCTCAAACTTTATCATAAAAAAGACAAATATGCAAACTTCATTCACGTCCCTTTTTGTTTATCACTCTTTTGTACCTTTTTATTATCATCTTTCTTCCAATGTGGGACAACTTTACAAACACTTTTGTAGTTTCTTTTGTCTTTTTTAAATTATGATCTTAATTAAAAAAATTGATTACTTTTTATAGTTAAAAAAACACAATTTTGTTCAAATATAAAAATATAATACATTTTTATTATATTATATTTTTCAAATTATATTATATTTTTCAAATTATATTATAGAACTAATTATATATAAAAAGATCGAGTATCTTACGAGCTTTTTGAGTCGAGTATTCTGTAGCTCGACTCAACTTGTTAATATGTCGAGTCGAGCTCGAATTCAAGCCGAGCCTATTCGAGTCGATTGTTGACCAAGGTTTGACCGAGCCGAGCTCGAGTACCTCGCGAGTTGTCTCGTATCATTTACATCCCTACAACCGACACAGTCCTCTGTTATTGAATGATAAGGTGTGTTTGGTACATGGGACGAGACATGACAGGACATGACGAGACAAAACTCACTGTCTCATGTGTTGGCGCAACATGGGACAGAGCAAGAGCTCACTGTCCCGCGTTTGGCGCGACATAGGACACGGACAAGAACTGGGACAAGATGAGACAAAAGAGGCATTTTCTTGTTCCACCAAAATACGTGGAACAAGATGAGACAAGAATATGATAGAAACTAAAATATTATTAATCTACCCTAGTTTGATATATAACTTTAATATGGTATTTGTTTTAATGGTCATCACTGCTAGTTTCTGTCTAGTCCTACCCTCTTGTTCAGTTCTATCCAGTCCTGTCCAATTATGTTGCATACCAAACCTGATGTTTCAACATATATCAGATAATGAAATCGAAAACTGCACCAACATAAACTAATATGGTTTTTATCCCAAACACAATTTATAACT